GTGTGCATTTGGAAAAGCTTTGAGGCTCTTGACCTGGTCATTTCTGACCATTTGCCTTGGCTTGCCTGCATGCTGCCCTTGCCTCTAGCCTGAACCTGCTGCAATTTCATCGGAGAGTTTGTGCTCATTGGGAGAAAAAGAGGAGCCTTGAGCACCACCAGCCAAGGACAGCGGTGCGTTCTGTGGGAAGTAGACTGCCCTTCTTTCCCTCTATTCCCTTCCCCCTCTTGGTGGGAGAAGGCCCCACTCCAACTTCTCCCGTGATCCGAGACCCCGCGCAGTGACCGCCAGAGCCCGACAGCGCCCCCTGCAGGCCAACACAGAGCACTGCAGGCTCTGCACCTCCAGCGATCCAACAGCGCCCCCTGCCGACCGTGATTAGAACCGCGCTAGAGGACAGAGAAGTACTCAGACTGTATTTTTTTGAAGGGGACTTTTGGGTTGGGTACAGGACTATTGTCTAGTTGTTTTTTTGTGTTCTGTTACTGTCTTTGCCAACATACACATATCTTTTAATAAAGGGTTGTTGTTTCTTCCTTTTTTCCATACTTCCTCGATTGGAGCCTCTTAGTTTTGGATTTACAAATGCTGAGAGAGAGGAGTTTGGTCTATCTCAACTCATCCTCCTTAGCAAACATTCCAGTTTCTTTAAACTGAGACAGAGATTCAGGGTAAAGTACTAGTAAGGTCATTCACTAAAGTAAAAGGAAACTGGACAGAGTCCTCACTAAAATCATCATTTAGGCTTTATGTGAAACATTTTGTAATTGTGCAAATTAATTAATTTAAAACAACAATTTGCAAGTGGTAACATAGTCAAACAGCTCTTCATACAAAATTACAAAATATTGAAAGTTCTGAGCAATTTGCTTTTAGTTTCCCTTTGCATGTCTCCTGATTTGTCTAAAGGAGAAACAAAGAATATGCTCCTGTTTTGGCATTTGTCTTTGGAGCTCCTTTCCAGTTTGACTAATGTCTACATCTAATCTTTATTCTCACTAAAATAAAGCCTGAGATTCTGAACTTGACTTCTAGCTAACAAAAGTGTCTTGGAAGAAGGTGCAGATCTAGTTAACTCAGTAAGACCTTCTCAGTTCAAAGCCTCAGAAACTGAGATAATCTTTCTTCTTTCCCACTTGAGATTTAGCTCCAAGTTAGTGCAGGTCTGTGAAAAAGGCCCAGCAGACAGACTGTACTACGCATTTAGCAGGCCTTGGGTAAGACTCATTTCCCCAGTGAAAGAAGTGAAAGAATCCAAGGGGGATTCTAAGCATGTTGTGCATTTAAAGTGCATGATGCTTAAAAAAAATAATTTAGGGGGTTGTTTTTGTCTAGAAAGAGGTAGAAAGTGTTAATCAGATATCATAACTAAGGCTGGAAAAAGTCTTTTATATAGCCTTGCAGCTAAGTCATTTCTCATTTACATTAATCTCATTAACCTGTTTAGCTAAACCTATACCAAGCTTTCAGTGCATTAGTCCAGGTGAAAGAGTCTTAATCAAATAACTGAACTCCTTTGCTTGACCTTATGCTCAACTGAACTGTAGGCCCAACAGTTCAGCTGGCATTAGGCCTTGAAAACAACAATCAAATAAGATATTTGCCCAACTGTATCAAACACTGAAAATTAATGTCTTGCCTATAACAAATTTATTAAATTTATGGCTCCAAAATACTACTTAAAAAGCTTTTAAAAAGTCTAATTTAACCAGAACACAAAACTTGTGCAAGATGTTTAAATATAACTTAAAAAAAAGATACTTTGAGTTGTAATATGCACCCTACCCTATTATTTTTTGGCTTCTGTTCTGTTTCATGCAGTTACGCTACTGAAGACTTTGGCATTGAGTATAAAACAGATTCACCTCCTGCATATCAGGAGTAGAGACGAGTTTTGCTGCATGAAAGCAGATAATATAATGCTAAACTAGTACAAATTATGTATCTATTATAAATACTTGAGAGTATATTTTTATAAGATGGCATTTTAACTGCCTTAAGTTTCCCTAGGACGTGTAATTGTCCTTTTGACCAAGCCAGACACTAGTTTGAAACACATCTGTAGGAAACACCGCCCATTAAAGACTAAAGTTTAATGACATCAAAATTTTTGAGAGCATTAGCTATTACAAGAAGATCAGGTCTATTCTACCACCTCAGACAGAAAAAAAAAAATCTACTTAGTAACAGCAAGTAAAGATCATATCTACAGCATTTGAGTATTCGATAACACAGCAGATTGCTATAAGCTTATCTATCAGCACAGACAATAAAAGTTTGTTTCATGTTTAAGGAAAAACACCTATTAGAACTAACTCAGTTTAAATGGAACAAAATAAAGTGCAGAGAAGACAAATCAATATTTGTATTTAGTTCCAGTTCGATGGTTTACATAAACCAGAAGGCAATTCAAACTGCAAGTGCTTGCCCAACACCTTTATCTTAACTTAAAGTTATTTGCATCTATTTTTGCCCATGTCTAATATCCTTAAAAACAAGGAAAATTGTATTAAGAAGTCTAGTTTCTACCTCTGAAATAAGTTTCACTTGCCAGGATACTGTCTGATCACAGAAAAGAGTAGCATCTAAACCAGTTATTTTCATTAGTTTTGTTCCTAGGTATTACAAACGGCAGGTACTTCAAGGCAACCACTACATTTCCACTTTCTAAAACTGACTGGATGAAACAGTGAATAAAGTGTCTTCACTAATGCAACTTTTTTTTTAGTATTACAAAATAAAGTTTTCTTTCATTCATAAAAACGTTTGAATGGCCTGACTATCATCTGCAGTTAATACAACTCCACTATAGCCTTTTCATTGCATTAACGTTCACATTTAAGAAATACCCATCCATCTTCTACTTACACTAAGTTAGCACAGGACAGCATATCAACACACCTTCTCCACCTCTTTCCTACAAAGAAGGGGGAATGTGACTCAAAGATTGCCACTGCAACAGCACGTTAATGATGACAAACCAAAGCCATCATTTACACAGACCAACTCTTGTATTCAGCACAACAGGAGACTAGTTTTAAGCATCAGCTATATTGTCTCCCTTAGTTAAAGTAAATTAGGAAAGAAAATCAAAGTATTAAAAGTATTCAAAAAAAGTATTCAAAAGTATGGGTGCAATTTCATATGTTTATAAGGAACTGGGGTTGGACTGAAATAATTAAGCAGTAAAATCTGAGGAAATCAGACTATTTTAATTTCTCTCACAAACGTCAAGACCAATGAGCTTTATCAATGCCACTGAGTATATTCTCCCAGCAAATAGTAGCCAAGTCAAGAAGCTGTTCACAAGAAATAAAAACCTATACAACTTGGTCAAAGTGATCTCATTTTGAAACACAACAGATGTTGTTCTTCTAAATTCTGCCAAAAATAGAAGTTTCTATTTTAATCACAAAGATACAGCAGCCTAAATGTGAGTTGAACAACTATATTTGCCGAAATAGAAAAACACTTGAAACTGCATTAAGTCTAAAGATAGCAATCAAAAAAATGGATGAATGATTTAAGTATGAGGGAAGACAGGAGACAAATTCATTCCCCTTGGGAAATGCTATGAACCACCAGGAATAAGACTAACACATACATACTCAATTTGAAGATATTGTAAATACAAGGGAACCACCTTGCAAAGGAGACCATGGCCTAACAGATTACAAAGAAAGAACTAATGGTCCAGTTATCTCCACTAGTACAAAATCTTGTCCAATAACAAGTAGGAGAAAACCTGAGGAGCTGTTAAGATCTTCTAGAAGCAGTCAAAACCCAGGAGTTACAGAATACTGATAATAAGAGGAGAATATAGGACAACTATTTACCTTTTCTATCAATTAACAAACATTATCAAACATTTTGTAAGTATATAAATGCACACATAATACAACTGCTCTTCATACAGAGGAGCTGAAAGTTTGCCAGAGTAAGAACAATTGAAAGCTTGGGTCTGAAAAGATCTGGACCATTCTGAAGGCCATAAATCTTTTGCTGAGATCAAAGCAATCAATATAATTGATTGTGACCTTAAAGAACAGTATCAGTATTGCAATGGTTGGTGCAATTCAAGTTGTTTCAAACTGTGAAAAAACTGTCCATATGCAGAGGGAAAAGAAGGTGAAACGTAACACTGTAAAAAACAAATCCAGTATGATTTCAATTAGTTTGTATTTTTTTTAATGAAACCAGGCTAAAATTCATTCACACCTTTACTCAAGTTTCAAAGGCAAATAAATACCAAATAAAATGTTACTAGTCTCTCTAAAAACAAATAAAAATATCAACTTTAAGACCTGCATAGATGGAAAGTCAAGGAACACTTCAGAATTACCTATCTGCTTGATAGTCACTACTCACAGCTCTAGAATATATCTTCTGCTCAAAGGTCAAAAAGGGATGGTTAATAACACAAATGATCAAGAGTTATACTTGATATCATAAGGAACAATAATTAAGAGGATTACACGAAAATAATTTAGTTCCACTGGTAGTGTTGCTCATGGAAGAGCCCATGTTTACTTATTTATCAAAATCTCATAACTCTTATCTGTAAAGTTCCACTAAGAATTTCCAGTTCCACTAATTTCAGATCTTATTTTTCCTGAGTACATTGAGAAATTTAATAGAATACTTGTCTGGACATTTCTATGGTAAACATATACACTGAAGTGACACTTCCCATGCTAAGCTATTCACCAGCTGGGATTTATTTTCAACATCTTGTACATACACATTAAAGCAAGTGAGAAATTTTAAAGCAAAGTGGAATGTTTTGTTGGCCAAAGGTTCTACTAAAAATGGTCATTTCTTCAAATGAATCAAGTAAGCTTTAAGAAGCTATTTTTTGGTCTTAGCTACATATCATAGCTTATTATTATATATTATACCAAAGCAAATAAAAGCCATGAAGAGAGCGACTGAGTTGCTTATCACAAACAACCACGCACCTATCACATTAGAAATACAAGAAATAAATATATCTAACTCACCTTCAGGTGCATCTGCATCACAGTCTTTAGATACAAATGTCACATTCCTTGGCTGGCCATCAACTGTCTGATTACTCTGCATTATAAAATATAGAAAATTAGTCTATCAGCAGTGTTCATCCAATGATAGTCCCCAAACCAAATACATTTCCAAATAAGTTTTTAATTTTATCAAAACTGCATTGACAAAACTCTTACAATATTTAAACAGATTGTTTTTTGAACAGTATATGCAGAGTAAGCTGTAAATGGTAAAACATGAACATTTTTAAGTACCCTTTCATTTTAAAAAAATATAGCTTGTGTTCTTTTTCAAGACACAAACCCCAAATTTCATCTCTGAAATTAAATCTTTTAACTGACCATAAAAAGAATCTGAAACTCAACTTTGGTGCTAAAGACACCATGAAAATACTAGGCTTCCATAATGATACCGAATGCAATTCTCTTCCGGTCTAAAGGCCAGATGGTAATATCCAACACACTTAGACAGCCAGAATGGAAGAAGACAAATTATGCTGAAGTTAACAATTTAGAACCCAAATGTGCCTGCTTAAGTGGCCCAAATCTTTGGAAACCCAATCCTTTCAGAGACTGACATGAACTCTTTATCTACCACATTTTTGAATGAGTGAATAATTTTAGCAGAGTCCTTTGCACTCCATTGATTTCTTCATACATTAATTCACTTTAAAGGGTCTGATACCTACTTTCATGTTCATGATTTCCTAAACAGAAAGCCCTCTAAAGAAAACAGTAATGGTCAACACCTTTTCTCCTTCAGACTGAAGAAAATATTCCTTAAAACATACCAGCAATCAGTACAAGCTGGTACAGAGAACTGTCTCTCTGACAGCTTAACTGAGAAAGTTTATCAATATTAAGCAAACACAGCCTTCACTGTGAACATTCAAGAGAAACAACCAAATGTCTATCCTAAAGGATCCTTTAGGATAGCAACAGTTTATATGTCCAGTTAATTTTGATTCATGCAAAGACAAGGAAGTGTGGAGACCACTACTGCTTCAAAAAATATGGATCCAAAAGGAGTATGATTAGTCACAGGAATCAATGGAACCAAAAGTAGGAGGACAGTGGATAGAAACAATAGGAAAAGAACAGAAGACATGAAACTTCAGTTATTCAGTGTACATTTAGTAGTGGCCCATCTCTGGGATGTATTCCAGCTGGCTGTCACCATTACAGCTTACACTGCTCAGAGTGCTCCTTTCAAAGGACAGCATTGTACCTCAAACAAGTACACAGGGCATACAAAACCCATAGATCAATCAATCACAACATGGCCATTTCAAAAATTTCACCTTCCTTATCTTTATTCACTTTAGTATTTTAATAGTCGTGCCTGTAGCAAATGTGGATAGAGCCTTCCCAAATCTTCGTTCGCGAAGCCTCGCCATGGCATTTTAATAGTAGGGTTTTTCATATACAACCTATGGGCTTTCTTTGATAACATCTATGCTTTTTTCTAGGTCTTATATCAGTGTTGTTCTCCATGAACACTCCTGCAATTTAAGACATTTTTAGCACAAGTATCGCTGGAGAAGAACTCTAGTGTTCTGTTATCCCACCTAGTCCAAGGCTGAAAGCTGGAGGCATCAAGGACAAGCAAGAGACAAAACCAAGTACAGCACTCAAGCATGTGTGCTGTAAGAGGTGACACATTTTGAATACTTAAGAAAATAGCAAGCTATCATATAACGGGTTAGGTTACAGCCTGTAACACCAACAAAATTTGCTCCTGCTTTATATTCAGGATCAAGAAATTGAAAAGACCTGTTTGTACGCTTGGCCATCTAAGGGATACTTCTGGATTCCTACTGCTGACAGAGACACTCAGGGTCCTGCAGTTTAGGTCCACTCCTACAAATTAGCTATGTGGTGGCTGAGGAAGGAAAGTGACTGTTCCCTGCTTAAGGACCAGAGCAGCAAAAGTATCAGTGTCACTCATGGCATATGCCAGTCTTAATTCCTGTCTGTGTCAGTCAAGTCCTAAAGGTCCACTAGGTACAAACATCAGCAAGCAATGGTCTTTCTTTCAGACAAATGCAAAATAAACTTTGATCTCGTTGAATGGAAATAGCAATTATATTTGAGTATGGGCAAAATTATGATTTCTCTAGAAAGCCGAGAAGGTGGCCTGGATGTGGATAGAACTCTGTGAAAGGTTATGAAGAGACTCATGGTTGATTAGCAGATGTTACAAATTGTCTTAAGAGGTGAACCCAAGCTATCCTGGGTGTTTGAAGAGCTATGAAAGTTGACCAAAGCTCTACACGGGGACTCAGTTTGTAAGGCCACTATATCCAAAGGAAATTTTCAAAAGTTTCCTATAGACAGCATAGCTGAAGACACTTTTGATGAACTGGGGTCACATGCTTTGAACACACTGGTGGTCAAAATATTAATAAAGCTAGCAGCCCAGGTCTCGCTAATGTTAATTGGCTCATAAGAGCTCCACTTTTCTATACATACTCAGTTAAAAGGAAAAACCACCAGCACTTCCAAAATAAAAGTTCTTGTCAAGAGTAAAAGTCTCCAAAGGAAACAGTTCAAAATTTAAACAGGAATTTAACCTGTCTAATGCATTACTATAGATTTTGGTTAGAAATTAGTTTAACAGGTTAACAGATTGGGAATTACTGTAGAGCAAAGCAAAGGGAGAAGTACTCTTACCCAGTCTTTCTGTGAGCCACCAGATTGTAATATACATGTTTATCAGCCCACCCATCCACTAAGCTGACTTGGAATAATCCTCACTTTTTGCTTGTTTTTTTACACAGTGGTGGTTACCAGTGGTGTTACTTTAAATGATGGAATTGACAGTGGTGTGTGAGCACAATGAAAACCCAGACTGTCCAAGTGAACCGGTGCATACAGCTCATCATCAGGAAGCCCTCCATGTATAGGTCACTTGCCCTGCTCCTGTGTATGTTCCTGGATACTCCTACATCCATAATCACCAATTTATAACTGTTTGAGAACCTCTCCATTGTTAACATCCACAGAAGAGTCTGTTGCTCCTCTTCATTCCCAGACACCATCTCTCTTGTTTCTAAATATAAAAATCTGACATGCAGTTGTCAGGGTAGTCAGACAGAAAATGCGTCTGGTACATTCTGAAAGACTCTTTGAGAGGATGTTGTCTGAAGACGTAACGAGTAGATCATTTGGTATGCCAGGGAAGTCCAGATGTAGTTTACCAGCATATTCTTTATGCCTTGCATTATTTTAACAACAAAAGCAGTTTCTACTCAAGTTGTAATATGTACTTTAAGCACAGCTCTTTGAAACAAAACATAAGAAGCTGAAGGCCCAGAATGGCTATCTTGCCCACAACAATTTTAATCCTTTAAATGGAAAGTTATAGCTCTACTCAACCATTTCAGCTAATCCTTCTTGCATTGCTGACCAGGATTGTATGTCAATAGCTTTAAGAATGACACAATAGCCTTCCTACTGCTGTGCTCTATTCTCTTGATCCTTCTTGGTTACAAACTACGTATTTATGTTTGGATACTACTTGTCATAAACAGGTAACATGCAAGTGTGTGTTTAGTGTCAATCTTTCTGCCTCCCTCAATATAAGCACATTTTATTTTATTCATAAAGTAAAACAAACTGCTAGCTATAGCTTTTATTATTTGTTTTTCTCTTCAATGTTCCATGTTATCTGTCAGCTTTATCATGAAAGATTCCTTTCTTGGGTCATTGCAAGGCCTTAAGACTAGTTTGGTAGGACCTTTAATGAAATTTTCCATCCTACCCTTACACCCACAATGGCTCTGCACTGTAATTGGAGATGTACAATCATTCTACAATATAAAAAACTGAACTGCCTTTTGCAGGCACTTTAGCTCATAGTTGATACCGATACAGCTATATATATGATGTTCTAAGTTACATACATAGTACATAATCATGCCAGGAGTTCTATGTAAACTCACCATATAAGCAAAATGCTTTCCTAAATTTACTTTCAGATTCGTTTTTTGCTGCTACTACTCTAATTCTGACAAGTTGAGCCAATTTATAGATGCCTACGCATGTTTATTTTGTATTAGTTATATCTAGCATAAAATCTAATAAAACGCATTACACTTCTTAAATACCAAATATTCAAATCCCCTACAGTGATTGTATTACTGTGCTTGGATTGACATGAGGATGACTAATTGCCCCTTACCAGACAATTGAGATGTAAAGACAGTAGGAAAGTAGCATTTATTGAATCCTCCATTTCCTGCAGTGACAATTCTACCACATCAACTCAACACATTTAAGTTGATAAGATTCTTCATCTCTAGCATGTTTAACACTACTCCAGTTCCAATTTCTCCTTGTAATCCTTTTGTACCAAATATTCTGTATCCACCATGTAAACCGAAAGAATTGACAGCGATAAATCACAGAATTTACTAAATAGTTGCAGCTAAAGGAGGTCAGTGTGTGTTTTGTTTGGTTTTCTTTTATTTTTAAAGTAGTGTGCTCCCCCAGAGGTACATTCTCCTGGAAAACTAACTGAAGTATTCCAAATGCTCAAAGCAGCATACAGTTACTTCAATCTCATTTAAATCCCTTCTTTTAACTACTCTAGCTCAACTATTTTGTCTGTGAAACTCAAACACCAAACAGCACACCAGGAGATCTTGACTTCATTGTGCCTGAATAAGCAACCAGTTCACAACCTGGTCAGTTGAAGACCAGATCTAACAAAGTCTACACCTGTAGGATATCAGACCTCAATAGACAGATGTCCATGAAACCTCTCAAGATTCTTACAATATGTAACACTGAATTTCCCCATAAATATGCAGCCTGCCACTCAAACTAAGATGAAATACAATAATTCAAGTCTTCAGGTACAGAAGATGAAAGACTTAAACCAAAACCTTGAAGTACACAAAAGTGCAATAACAAAAGCAGAGACTAAATTTTAACTGGTTAATTCTGTAGATTTTAGAGAGCAAGAACTGCATGGAGTTTCATCAAGTTGGACAGTCCAAAGTGTCTTAAGTGTGATTAATCAGCACATACTTTGCTCCAATCTGATGAATTTCTACTGTAATAAGTTATCTTTGTCATTCCTCACAAATATGCACATAAAAACTATCATCTGTGGATAACATTGATTTTTATTCTCTACATAGCCTTACACATTAAAAATAATCCTCACTGCAGTCACTTAGTATACCAGTACAAAATCTAGTGGAAGCTGCCAACTGTCTTATCAGAAACAGTAAAGCAAAACTCAGGAGTTTCACACTGCCTGAAGATAACCTAAAAATTAAGCCGTGTAATATGTAGTACAATTGGTTTCTGGTTTGTGTATTACCAACAGACCTACTAGTATTTAAAAAAAAAAACTGGCTACAAAATTCTCTTCAAAATCTGAGAATAAGCCTGACTTTAGGAGTTTCTGTAAACAATACATTTTTGGATGTAGAAAATTTAAACATAAAATAAAAAAAAATTACATCTCACCTGCACCAGGTATTTCTGGCTTCCATACATTACATATTGTGGAGCAAGACTGTAAATCATGTAACTTGTATGAAGAACTATCAACAGAAGTATCATACAGAGAAATAAGAGTGCTTGAGGTCGAGTTTTTCCTCGTCTGATTTTATAAAGCTGAAACCAGAAAACAAATATTAACACAACAAAATTACTTTTTTTCCTGAAGACATTTAAAAACCTCTTTAATTCAAATAATAGTTTTAATTCTACTGCCAGAAGTGGGAGGTTGCTAAAATGATCCTCTGGCAACTTAACTCCAGTGACTCAAAGCAGGTTTTCAGGGGTCTTTACCTAAATTTCGGAGCACAGCTGTTTAAACAAATTAAGTACTGGTTACAAATTAAGTAATGGCCCAAAATATCTACACACCAGTAGCTAGTAGGAGGATTAAAATGGTGTTGCCTATCACAAACTGTGTATACTTATAACAAACTGTGCCTTGGTTTGTCAAACAATGTTATGCCCTTCCGTCAAGGTGGGGTGTCATCAATCACTACAGCCCCAATCAGATCTAGAAACAGAGGAAGGAGTTATGAGAGAGCACTCCCAGGCTCTGAGGAAACTTGCCCGCATATGGTGGTTTCTTGTTCATTGAACATTGCAGGGAACAATACAATCCCTCACTGTTATTCTGTAGATACCACTGTACTCTCTAATCCCTAAGGGTTCAACCTGAAGACCCTATTCAGGGGAAGAAGCTGGCACATGAGGGGTAAATGACAGAAGACCAAAACCAGTACTAATCTCACAACTCATTGCAAAGATTGATGGGTCATTGTTCCAAATCTGGGGTGTCACCACACGAAAAGGTGACAGTTTTAAAAGGAGAATAGGCACATAAGCATGGAAATATTTAACCAAGTATCACAGGCATGATTGTCGCACTATGGGACACAAAGCTGCTTTTGCAAATATTTTTTTTTCAAATCTATTATTTGCTTAATATTTAGATATGCCATATTACCACCGTACTCTTTTACTTCTTATGAAGCTAAACTTGCTTGTCACATCTGTGAGATACTGGATCCCAACCTCATTGAATTATTGATACAGGTCAAAACCAACTCACTGTGAGTGTGTGTGGGGAAGGGCTGGGCCTAGACCTGCAGGTACATGGTAAGGCTGCCATATCACATAAGGCTTGCTCAGAGCACATAGCCTGCAGCTAAGAGAGCTGAAGGCTTTGTAGCCGAGCTGTCAGTCAAGGCAGACCTGCCTGGTAGCCCACCCACAGCACACCCCTGCAGCCTGTGACTGCTACAGCACAACTCACTCTGGCCTGAAGGCACTGACCGGATATCCTGCCTGAGAGGGAAAACTGAACCATGTAAATACATGAAACTCCATCTGAGCTCCCTCTCTCTTTTCTCCCACTGCCTGCACCACATGAATCATTGAATCTTGTTGGTAACCATTTTTCCTTTCCTCTCTCTCCTTCTCTCTTTCTTCTTTCTTTACTCTTTTAATCTGTTTTCTTCTTTTACTCTTTTCCTTCTCTTGTGGGTAACTTAAAACCAACGAATTGTGTTGTACTAAAGCTAGTATATTGATTGTTTGTGCTGGTTTTTATTTTTCCTGTGGAATGGGTTTTTGGCTGGATGTTTTAGTGAAATATTTCTTCTTGATTGTATTTTACTCCTGTAAACTCTTTTGTCAGAATATCTTATTTTTCCCACTAAATTAAAAGAATTTCTCTTAGAGAAGAGCATGTGACTCTTTCTCTGGATAAAAATTCAAGATTATAACAAACCAAAAGGCTTTTAAAAAGTCTTAAATAAAATGTAACCACTCTGGGCAGCTTATGGCTTAAAATCTAGAGCGTAACAACATCGATGGCAAATCAAGCCCTTCTGACTGCATGCATATTTCAGATTTTGACCATAAAATTGACTTAATACTTCCAGTACATCAGAATCATATGGCTTTAACTTAGAAAAGTCAGAAGCCAAAGTGACACTGATTAAATACTTGAAAAAGAGTCAGATGACTGTACTGTTCAAAGTGAAACATCAGTTTAGGTCTGATAACTAAGCAAAATGAAACACCTTCCAAAAGCAGTGCAAATCGTACACTAGGCTTCCACTCACTACACATACAGACATCAGCAACATCCCGTATTTATGATGCAGTACATAAATATATTCAATAGCACATATTTGTTAAATATCTGCATATTAGAAACTAAACTCTTCAGTCATATTTACCCTTATCCAGAAGAACCATATACCCATATTTCGAATCCCTGCCATTGAAGTGAAGATAAAGTACATAACAATAGTTGTAATAAGAATATAATCAAGTGGAAAAACCTAGAACAAAAACACAAGCAGTTAAAAAGACAAGGAAACAAGCTCTTCTCCCACTTATATCTAAATAAGTAGTTTCTACTTATAGCGTCTGTGGTAGCAAGAGTCCTATTTAAAAGTTTTACATAGCTGGCTCCAAATATAGCTAACATAGCTGGGTGCTAATAGAGCTTAGACAATTAACTTGCCAACTGAGCATTTTTCTTAATTTAAAACTTGCGCTAATTTTGAAGCATTATACATTTGTAGGCCAAGAAATACTTAATTCTTTTAAATAGAAAGTCTCAGAATGGAAAGTCCACAGTGACAACAATCATTTTAGGACTACACAGGCATTCTATTTGTGACATTTTTCTGATCATATTTGCATACAAAATTTGATTTTTATATTTACATTAATAACAGCTTGAGAATACTGCTGCTGAACACTACTTTGCACAGTAAGCGCAAGCTTAGGTGTTCCACAATATAAAAACCCTGGGGAAGAATGCATTGTGCTGGCCCACTGTACCAAGAATAAGGAAATAACTCAACTAGGGGAGAATAAAGCACTAGCTTATATTAAGGCTTTTCTTCTTCTTAGTTTACCCATGAAAAACTAAATTTGTACATGGATTTGTTGCCTTTCAGCTCTATGGAAGTTAACAGTTTGTTGGGTTTGTTTCAAAAACTAATGCCTTACTCTAACATACATAACTGCATAGAGGAAAATATCTTTCAATGTGCAACAAATATATTAAAAAGTGGAAAAGTGCATTTACTTCACTGAAGAGGGCTAAACTATCCAGTACACCAACAACTAGAATACAGGTAGAGCATGGCAAAAAGTTGCTTTTATTCTGTGCAAAGTAAACACAAATGCAGTCATTCTCCATTGCCACTGTGTTCTCATCACATCGAAGTTAAGTTTCAAGCACCACCTTCCTTCCCCTAACTAGCTTCCACCCAAAAAGATTTTCATATCAGTAACTTAAAACTAAAAGTTAGTAAGGAATTTGCCTCGCTTTTACTGAACACACATATAGACAATGTTGTTTTAATTAATTACTTGGGGAGAAGTTTGCCTTTTGACAGTTTACCAGAAAACAGAGGAGCATCCTTACATATATATATATCACCAATTTTTTACTTACTCTTTGAAGAACTGGTAACAACATATTCAATGGATTGGTCAGATTAGTTCCTAAAATTATAAATCCTGAGTCGAAACCAGCCGAATGCAGAGCTTTGTCCAAACTGCAATAATCAGAAAAGTTGGGTAAGTACAACAGTTCTCTCAGACCTTCATCTTCACTTTAATCTAAAAGGGCAACTAAAAAAAAAAAAAAAAAAGAAGCCGAACTAAGCCCAGAGACTGATAACTTTCTAATATCTATATAGATACACACTTTGCTTTGCCACACTCATTGCACTTTTTCTGTGAAAGTTACATTGATTTCTGCATCTCCTCAGCATTTTAGCTTTTCCCTAGTTTGGGTCATATTTGCCCAGTTTGAAAAATTAAACGTGCCAACATTTGAGACCTCTGGTTAGTGTCACTCTTTGTTGAAATCCACCAGATCTGCAGCTGGCCATATTGTTTTCAATGCCATCAAACAATTACTATGAAATGGACATCATAATAGATTAAAATATGTCACTTACTGCAAGAATTTAAGCACCTGTTACCCAGCCAAGAAGTACCTATGTGCATCAAGATTCATTCAAGCAATCATAATACTTTTGCAGTCTGAATTAAACTTTCTTAATATATATGCTCAGTTTCTCTGCTGAATCAAAACAGTTTTCAGCAACATACAGTCAAGTCAAGCTGACCCATGTTCTTCCTTCAATCTGTTTTAGCACATTTTGCTCAGTTTCACTATATACTATTATAATGAGAAATGCAGCTCTAGTGACAGAAATGTAAGGTAGAAAGCAAACCACCTCTTGAAGCAAACCACCCCAATTCTGATGTTAGAGCAGAAACTAGGTAGTTTAAGTGGTTAAGGAAAATGCTGAAATGTACTTACTTTGACAAGAACAGAGAGACAGTGAAGAGCAGTGCCACAATGATGAAGAATACTCCCCACACAATCTAGAGGTAAAAATTAAAAGCAATGTAACTGAAAGTACTTTCAATTGATGCAAGAAGTGAAGAGTTGTCTAGGTTTCAGTAAGGGAGGAATGAGCTTGGACACTTCAGAGCTTAAACACATTTGAAACAGTAACTGTTCGGTAAACAATTGAGAGAAGTGCGAACAAAACTTTTACTATGTTAAACACAGTTTATGTCAAGTACATCACATTCTCCAGTGCAATACACAAGTCCACCCCTTAAGTCAAAAGTGTCATTAAGAAAAGAGATGACACATTACATCAAATGAACGCAGCATTTAGCAGAATGCACAACCTGTACTTACTATATATTACGATGGAAAACCTTAACTATATACATGCATACAGCCTTATTTAAGGTAATTAGAGATTGGTGCCTTGACCACTACACCTGTGTGCTCACCTTCCAACAGGAGGCAACCTGTGCACACCTTACAAGGAACATCTCACCTTTCCCAAATAAAAGCTCCCTTCTGTAGTGCTGCTCCAAAACACAGTGACCAAATCACTGGGAGCTGATTTTTCAAAAAACTCAAGTAACCAAGCCCAAATGGCAGGTCTTGATTAAAAACAAAAGGAGAGTCTTTTTATTATGCCTACCAAATATAGCACTTGAGCCAGGGATTCATTCTCTAAGCTGTCCTCAACTAGAGCACCTCCCATTGTTTTTCCTGGGCTACAAGCTAGTTCAGGAAACCATTCTCCACTTTGACAGGTTTTCTCCCTCAGAATCTTTTCTTTGGGGAGGTTAGGGGATGGCACACAGAAGTGAGCCTAGACAGTAAACCTGTTCAGTTACAGTTCAGCTACAGTTCCTAGAAACCCAAGTCATGGAATATGATCAAGTAAGCATGCTGAACTTCCTGAAACAATCATGTTTTCAGACAGCTAGACCTGAGACCTAGACAGACGTATTTCCAAACTGTATATGCAGGAACACAGTGCACGGTCTTCCACAAGAATGGGAGAGTTTCACCATTTAAATCATTTTATTAGCCCCAAAACTTGACACACAACCATCACGAAGAGGTTAAGAACTTTATTACAGCTGCTCATTAAAGATACTCAGAGTTACAATGCTATTATTGTTCATTTAATTCTGAAGATAAACTTCAAACAATATTAGAACATCACTTATAAAACAACTCCAACTACGTAGGCCTTATTAGGTATAGATTTAGAAACTAATACCAAGGTAAGCATTAACTTGTGCATTTCCACATAATTAAGTGTACTAAGACTTTACTTCTGCACAGCAAACTCTCACTAGGTATTAGCTGTACAGGGAATAGATGTTTAAACCAACTGAGGCCAAGAGTCTTAATCTTGCTTTACTTCATTACATCCTGCCAGTTATGGCTACTAAACTGGTATCCATATCCCCTCTGGAATATCCTTGTCTTTTGAAGTGATGTCTAACACTTACATAAATCATTGCCAAAAAAAAAACCACAAAAAAACAAATATCACTCCTTTCCCCATTTTACCCTCTACTGCAGTCCCATTAAATACAAGATTGAGAGGCTAATACTAAAAAAAAAAACAAACCACCAAAACTTCATTCTACTTTAGTTCATCCTGTATGTCCACAGTACTATTAAGACTACCGAACCATAAATTATTTACAGTTTACATCAATCTATACTTACATAACTTCAAAACATCAGCTGACTTAGGCCTTTCACAGAAGAGATCCGTGTGTTCTTGTCTAGATTTTCCTCATACTTAACTGACTACAGACAAAACGACACCTCATTCCCAGCATATTAACCAACACTCGGACTAACGTACTCAACTGACCATGTCAGTTGAGTATCATTTTGTTCTGGTTAAGGGAAAGAGTAAGTATTGCCTTTTCCTTGCCCACCACATAAAGCCTAAGATGGGCTATAAAGAACACTACAGCAGGAGCTATATACTCAGTGTTGCCTTTTACTTGTCACCTATAGCCAAAGACAAATACACAATCTTAGCGGGACAATATGGCACTGCTATTTACTACCTTTAAACCAACTAGAGTACCTTCAAATATTCTAGATACACTTCGTCATGAAAATTTGCAAAATAATTTTGCTTTGTGTCACAGCATAAATGAGGAGTTCAAGCTCTTGAGAACATCATTACATGTTCAACTTCAGAGAAGAGGACAGCAATAAATCAAAACCTCTTGTTCTCACAACAGGACTATTTATCAACTGATGCTGAAAAGCTTTTAGTACTAGAAGATGTGAAAACAAAAGCCCAGCTTTCAGCCAAACACACAGAGGAATTTAGTAAGGTCATTATTTTTTAAAAAGGAACCTTCAATGCATATTAAGAGAAGTCTAACTTCCAATGCAAGACCAACTTTTTTCCTACTCCCTAGTCCTTTTGAAAGCAGAACCTCAATCTAACCATACATCAAGCTGTGTTACCTCCTCCACTACAGTCAGTTTGAACTGTTCCATTGCCAGGCCATTTCTTGATATCCATCAGCTACAAGGCCCAGGCCCCATACCCACTAATACTCAATCATTTGCGCTGTCATTGGACAGCGTTCAGAGCTGCTGCTTGCACTTACATCACTGATCACCTCTAAGTGTCTGCTTGGGTCTTCTAATCTACAGTCTGTTGTGCAAGCTAATATGCATACTGCTAACTGCCAACAAAAGAGTTAATTGTGCTTTTATGCAACACTGCAAATATTGCAAAAATAATGAGTTGACGCAATACTTACTAGTATGACTTACACTGCTGTCTGAAATGAGCTCCTTGAGCATCTTAATAGAAAGCCTCTGCTCAAGCAAGTAATGACACAGCTAAAGCAGAACACAGTAGGAACTGGTTTACTTAAAGTTCTGTCTTACATATGAACCCATGGGATTAAAAGACATGGCTAAGCAAAAGACAAGACAAAAATGTCAATATAGGCATTTCTCAACATTAAAAATGGAAGCACACTTCTCCTAGGTCACAATGGAAAGTTGATTCACATTCCAGTTTAATATGTCGGGTCAAATAATTGAGGAATAACTTAGAAATATCAGAAATAATTTCGAACTATCAACTGATTAGTGTATTTTTCCACTGCTACTGCACATAAATAAGCCACAAACTAAGAAGTCCTTTATGACATTTTTCATGCTCTGTTTATATCATTTTCCCTGGTACTCCCTCTGCAAGCTTTTAAACATTCTAACCCTGCATCACTCTTGTTTGAGTTATTCAGAGAACTCTTTGCCTCCTATTGCTGCTCCCAAATCTCAGTCAAGGTAAGCTATTTCAACTATGGATAATTCCAAAGTGTTAAGAAGGAAGTTGGAGCCTACAGAGATCTCACATGCTAGGTGCTTCTGATAGGAACTACAGCCCATGGAGTAGACCCACACTGGAACAGAAACAAAGCGTGAAGAGGACACAGCAGCAGAGTAGAAGTATTATGGATTCATGGCAACTCCCTACTGCCCATCCCCTCTGTGCCACAGAGTCAGGACAAAAGGAGAGAAGTGGAATCTTGGAAAGAGCGAGTGTGGATCTCTTCACACAGATCTCAAAACAGAGCACTTGATTTACTTATATTACTCAACTAAGGCATCTCTTCAGTTTGTTCACAACTGTTGTAATGTACCCCATGAAAATAATGATGCAATACTCGCAATTTACCATTGTTGAGTAGACGTCCATGTTTCACATCCTATAGTCTTCTTCACACACTGAACAAACATAGCTATGTGCTCTAGAGTTTGCTTTCTTAAAAAATTTTTATACTTATCCCTAGAGCAATACCACATTTCTCCTGCTGCTCAGAGTATCAAATAAAAGCATGAGAAACCACAGTAAAGAAAGGAGAAGCAGGTAACAGTACATTTTGTAGAAAGAAATTAGACTAATTCAACGTGACTTGACAACCCCATGCTGGCCAATACTCATTTCCTTGGGATCTTCCAGATCTGTTTCTTTTGACTAAATTGAAAAACTAACTTCATCTTTGTGTAAAACAATCAATCATTCTCAAAACTTAGTTTACGCTACGTCAAATAAAGCTTACTCTTCAAAGAAAAAGTTTCGTCTTTGTTTAACAAGAAATCACATATATACTTAGATACTTAGCGTTAATAAAACAATTAAAGCAAGAACATTAGAGGACACTATGCAAAGACAATCCGATTACAGAAGTCTGAATGGAGACACTAAGTTAAGACTGTAAGAGACCTTGTGACTAAGTACATCTCCTGAACATGTTATTCTGTTCTGTCAGTCCCAGTAAGAGTCTGCAACTCCCATAAACGTGACCATCCCAAACACAAAGCAGAAATAGGGTTCTCTTGCTCCACAAGAAATGGAATTTCTCTTGAAGCCTGAGAGGCAGCCACATTCTTGAACAGTAATATACACGTGGCACTGAAGGTGAAAGTGTTGTAAAACAGTAAACAAAGCCCCAAGATACCTTCTGCACTTCTCCACTGAACAGAAGTATTATCTATGGATATTGAAAAGATTTTTGTCTTTTCTTTAAAGCCACTAACTGAATGATTGATAAGTTAAGACATTTGCAAAGACATTCCAAATGCTCTTAAAGCAACAGTAAAACAGTTCTCCAAGAGTTAAGACGTAATTAAGTGATAGACATTAATCACCTTCACAGGACAGCTCTAGTCAAAGTAAACAAGTTCACTAACATGCTTCATAGCACAATCCTAGTCTAAGTGAAAATCTGTCAGGAAAAATTATCCACCTGCAACTCTCCTTTAGTCTGCAATTCATGAGTCAACAATTCACAGTGACTGTCACAGTTACTGAGAGAATAAAAAGCATTCAAACCACAAAACCAAGAAGGCACTTGAATACCATCTTTGCTGTAGGCGATAAGCTGTAACTAATGATACTGTACACTATCCTACAAGAACACAATGAACAGTTAAAATCTTACAGACAAAAAAGATATGGCAAATACACTTGTCAAATTTTAGCTTAATATGAAAAGTTATAGAAACTACATAACCTATACTGAATATTTTTTTAATCAAAAGGAAGCATCCCAACTGTTAAAGTGAATAGTTATGGATATTTGCACTTTCAATTAAAGGGCTAAGTCTATGCTTCTAACGTATCACAGCAAGATAACTCTAAGAATTTCACAATGAAAGCTTTTGGTCAACTGCAATTTCAGCCCATTTCCATTGGTACTTAGCATTAACAGTAGCAGTGACAGAGGAAATTGCTTATAGCCTGCTCCCCGCTACTCAGTTTTCCCAAAAGCAGCCTACTGCTAAAGTTTCTTCCTACATCTAGTTGGCAAGAAATATTTTATCTAGCAATACTGTTCATAAAAGTACGAGTTTTTTAAAACCAAGTATCTACTAAAAGTCAAAGTCCTAAGATCAAAGGGAGATCAAGATAAAAGCTTTGCCCAAATAACCGTCTCATTTGCACTGGTTAAGTATTACTACATAAATTTCTATGTAGCTAGCTTACTATTGATCAAGTAATTCCTTCGCCAGTTGCTTATTCCAAATGCATATATTCTCAAAGCATCTCTGACTTCTGATGGATACATGTAATTGAGATTAACCTGACAGCTATAGAATTCTTCCTTCTCCCCATTTTCATATTTGATAGAAAAAATAAGATATTCCGATTTTCTATGGCAGTAGCACTATAGTAGACAAGCTAGGATTTGTTCATTTTCAATCTTAATCATAGTTGAGACAAATTAAAAGGTTTTCCAAGAGCTCAAACAGTGTTTGCTATAGGGTTGTCATTGTGTAGTGTAATAGTAAATTAAAAAAAACTGTTGATATTCAGGGTGGTAATTGATAAACTTGACCTATGATTTATACGCGAAGAAGAAAGCTGGAAGTTATTTCAAATTAAGTATCAAAAACTGAGAAAAAGTTTTACCTTTAAAGGTCGGATAGCTTCACAGAACTTTGTCCACCAGCTTTTCTCAATAGATTCCAAATGCCTCTCTCTCCTTCGAAGTGTCCTTAATCTTTCTTCTAATTGTTTTAGAGTCCGTCTATCCCTTGATGACAGAGGGCGGCCATCTCTGCACTGGTTACCAAAAAACAGTGCAAGAGATCAAAAGTCACCAAATCAAGAAAACAAACTTGATACCTAGTTTAACTATTTATAACTCTCAAGAATTTGTAGTATACAATTCATGCATATATAATTTCTATGCATATCAAGAGGATGAAGTGCAAAAAAGTCATAAGCTGCAACCAGAAGAATTCCTATTAGGTGGTAGAAACCACTTTTCACAATGAAGAATTAGTTGAGTGTACCAGACAGTTTGTTTGATAATTATGTTTAAGAATGTATTTTAATTGTGAGCCTTCAAACACTGAGTGGGAACCACTGCACTCTTGTAAATTGAGCAGCAAATCCTTAGATCTCATTTACGTGTTAATAAGCAAAAGCAACAAAACAGGTATTAGATAGCCAAACCAAAACTGTTTGTAACATTGATGCTAGTATATTACAACCTGATACTTAGACAAAGAGATTCTTATATAGTAGGAAATGTACTAAAACTGTATTTTGAAATTCCTTATTAATTTTTCCCTTATTTTAAAACAGCCTTCCTGCAGATAGTGTAACACTTTACACTCAATGAAGTTAAAAAATATTTTAAATAAATTACTCAAAAAGTTTACAAGACTAAGATGACATTCTAGGCATGCTAACACTTAAATTGGAGACCATAATGCACTTTTAACAGGAACACATTCACCATACCCTGTATAGCACCTCAGTGACAAACTTTTTGACAACAGTAAAGCTCCCGATCTGCAAGTTCAAGCTTCAATTATTTAAGACTAAGGAAATAAAGATGTCAGATGTACTAGTAGCAGAAGATCATACTACATACTGAATTTTTTCATTAGATTAAATAGCATACTTACATACTTCTAGTTTTTAGTGTATACTACTCTCAGTAACACTCACTTCCTTCACAACTTAATGAAAATGTAACTGAACAATTAAGATTTCAATTACAGAATGAGGCAGAATCCTGACCACAGTGCAAACTAATTTTACTTGTTTTATGGATTAAAGGCCATATTAAAATATAGACATAACTTAGTGACTTTCTACTTTTTAATCCTATGTTAGCTAGACTGATCAACAAGACCAGTTGCATGCAAATTCTTGTAGTCCAACAAGATCTTCTATAATAAGTAATGATCCATTTGTCACATGTTTCTAATTTTTCTCATATTAATTTCAGTAATGGATGCCTTTGTTGTTGTACTAGTCTGTACAAAACCAAAACTTCATAATTTAAACTGGGGGAGACTACTTTTTAGATTTCATTATTCAACAAGGTGTCTAGAACACTGGAGGTGCCCACACTGTGTACAGAGGTAAGACAAGTATCAAGGGAAGACTGTTGGAACAGTTTCAACATTGCTGAGGTCTACTATCACAGAGCACAACAACAACACAGATGGACTGCCAGGATGGAAGTCAGGCATCTTAATATCCCTTCCTCCTAGTCAAGGCTGTGAAAACACTGGTCAACCCATTATCTGAAATAGGTTGAAAAAAGGGTGGGAGATTTCCCTTATCTTGTTCATAAAGCAGAAATCCTACCCTTCTTTGGCTTGCACTTGGGAGGTTGTTAGAAGTGTCTTGCTTACATTAGGCACAGAATTCCCATTAGCGGCAAAGTCATCAGGGGTTTACGTTGGGATGTTCAGGATTTAGAACAGATTTCCATATGTACGCTTTTCATAAAGAAATTATTTATAACAGGAAGGTACATTAACTGGGAAGCAAGAATATCTGGGGCTGTTATTTATTAACACAGATGATTCATAGTTTGATGAATCTAGCTCATGACAGCTCTATGTGGCAAGTATCCAGTGTTAACTACACTACATTGAGTAAGTATCAACAAATTGGATGCCATTTCTAGCAGCAAAGTGAGGTTACTATCTACAAAACATCTCTTCCATCTAAGCAGGACTGGAGAAATTTTACTTGTTAACACTATTATTAGCTAGACAAAAATAACTACTACTGACAGAGAACCTAATCACCACTACATGTGACCATATTTGTTTCCAAATAAATAACTGCAAGCTATTCACTTCTTACTTGCTAGTCCTTCTGAGACAGACTCTCTACAGCATGAAGCATAAGCTAATAAGCAAGCAAAAAATCATTAAGAAAGTGAGAACAGCGAAGACCGTACCTTTGATTTAATCCTTAATAAATGTTGCTCCACTTCTTCAATACCTTCAGTGTTCTCTAAACGTTCATAAGCTGCACTGGTAGTTCCCTTAATCAAGTTTAGAGGCAAAGCTGACATACCATAAGCCTAAAATGAAAAGGAAACAGACACATTCAAATGTTCTGCCATATATTTTCATCTGATAAGGCTGCTGTGTGTCGTAGCTATAAGGTATCAGTACTGGTGTTTTTTTCACCCCTTCTGCATGCTCTAAGAGAATCAACTGTTTCCCTTTTTTTTGAGCAAAACATAACAGACATACTATGCAAATTCCAGTATCCCACATTGTTCCAATGGTACTTAAGTGTTTCCTGATTACTTAGAAAACAGCATGTGTTAAGACTTCGTATAAGCATGGTACACTGAAGATTTATCAGACTAGTTCTTGTGTTTTGTCAAATCACATAGCTTCCCAAAACGTTAACTTTCCCACTTCAGATCAAAATCAAAACTTTGTGCAATACAGGAATTCCTTGGTATTGAATGTAAATAGTTTTAGAAGCACAGTATACACCATTTCCTTGCAGAACACTACTACCAGTAGTCTTCAACCTACTTTAAAAATAAAATTGGGTAGAAAGTACATGATTTACTAAAAAAAAAAAAGTAAAAATAATTTGGAAGCAAAAAGATAGCAGAAGCTAGGTGAACACCTGAACTCTGTTACATTCCAAGACTGTTTAGATACCTATTCGCATTCATAAATTTTGTTGGCATTTACTCCTCATCATAAATTCTAAATCATTCCAAGTGTTTGGCCAGTTTCTACATCAACAGTACACCCATGTAAGGTCTGTAAGATTTGCACTAACATAAGAAGAAACAGGTATTTGAGGCAAGATAAAGAAGAAAAAAACCTCTATTTCCTCCATGCTACCCTATGATTCTCATAGATCAAGGCCAAGGTCAGAAGTTTCTCCAAGCAGTTTAGAGACATTAGCCGTAAGTCTGTCATTTGTTTACAGTGAATGATAGGTTATTCTTGGGGAAGACCTCAGCAGGAAGGTTCTTTTCTCTCTCAATCACAATTAACATATGCAATTTACTAGAGTGCCTGATACATGAACACTTGCCAACTTCTGAAAACAGAATTGTTTATGTTGGAAAAGACCTCTAAGATCATCGAGTCTAACCTAACACTGCCAGGTCCACCACTGTCCCAAAGTGCCACATCTTCAAGTCTGTTAAATACCTCCAGAAATGGTGAAGAGCAGTTTCCTAGATTTTCACAGGAATAACACTCCCTCCTTCAAGCTTTACATTTCGTACTGAGAACAAATTTAACACGAATGCTGGTGTGTTAAAAATGCCACCTTACATGCTGTCAGATCACATGAGCTTTGTTTTCACAAGGCATGATCTGACCTGCTTAGAAACCTACTTAGGCATAATAAAGTCTTCACACACGGCACCCAAAGCAAGACCCTGTCCATTTTTTGGTTTTATTTTTGAATGTCATATACCCCACTACCAACACCCATTTCTAGGCCCATTTAATCAAGAGGTCTTATTTACTATTACTGTAGTTCAAACCCACATTAACTCTTTAAATTTGTTACCATTTAAGATCTGATGGAGCCCGCAAACTTCAGTTTGACTCTGCAAGCAATAATTTTCCAGAATTTTAATAAAAATTCCTCTAAGTATTAGGTTAAAAAAGCATGAAAAAAGTCTGACAGCCTTGCTGATTTACTATGGAATTAGGTTTCTTATTTCTGGAGTAACAATTACTGGTAAATTGTTGGAACAATGTCAGTTAATGTCTTGTGTCTCAACAAGCTGCAAACCCAAGGAAACAACAATCACTGATAAATCACTTTAAAAAGTTAAATAAGGATGTAAGAGAACAATATTTTCCTTCAAACATTTCTTGCAGTATATATCAGCAAAGAACTCATTCAGCTGGAGCTTTGATAACTTGCTCTACTTGACTTTTTTCATAGCTATACAGCATTAGAATTTGGTGTCCAATAGGCTCTTAGAGCAAAAAGTAGGCTATTAGCTATCTGCTCAGTGTTTCAGGACTTCACAGCTGATAGTCTCATTTGTAACTGAAAAACGCAGATAAAAAAAGGTGCTTGCAGCACTGTTTGCAGACCTCCAAATAAAGTTAAACTCCCTTTTTTTAAATCTACAAAAGATAACTGACAATTTCAGTTCTTATGTTAAAGCTTTGTTCGGTAGAAGTGTTATATAGAAAAGACACCTCTTATCACAGGCAAGCATGAAATTGTTTTCATTGCTGTCCAAGACATTCTAGAGATTCTGGTTTGAACACAGCAAGTCAGCCATAGGAAGGCCTACTTACAAGACTGAGTATTTTCAGTAAGGAAAATAACTTCACTTATGATGGACTTCACAACTCTTCATAAATGTGTCTCAGTTCTCCCTTTAGAGTATCTTCTTTGAGAGCGTTAAGCTCTTTGCCACCTACATGAGCTAAAAAGCACTCTCTCAATTCTCTTCTCTGGGCCAAAGAAAGAAGTCCTTCAACCTTTATTTATCAGTTGCTCTCTGCAACTCTGTAATCACCTGGACAAGCCTCCCCAGGAGCCTCTACAGTTTTCAACAACTGGGGGACCAAAACAAGACAGTATTCCCATGTGTGGCTTTGGAAGTATCAAGTACAATGAAATAATGGCTATGTTCTTCCTGATGCAAGCCCAAGACACTGATTGTCTTTCTGCTGCAAGGAACACTGCTGCATCATGCTCAGTTTACTGTCACTTCCAGGTCCTTTTCAGCCAAGCCATCCCCCAGCTGTTAGGCTCAAGCTGCTCAGAATTAACCCATTCCAAGAGAAGGCCTTAACATCTCCTAAACCTGATGTCATTCTTGTTGGGCCAATCTTCCCTGTCAAGGTCTCTATGGTGGCTTTTCATTCTGTTTTATCTACTTCTCCGAGTTGGAAATCATTCTTAAACTATATGTCTACTCAACGCCATCATCCAGGTAATTTCTAAAGACTGACTAGTATTGGGCCTATATTGAACCTGAAAAGCTCACTCAGATAGTGGCATAACTCTAGAATCTGGGGGAAAGTGTAAACACCATCCAATATCATAACTAGAATGCAGGCTACAATTTAACTGAAGTCCCTCTGTGGAACCCAAAACATTTCCAGCCACAGACAAAAACATTCAGTATGTAGAAATGCATAAGAGATTACTATAACAAGAGGCCTAAAAAAATTTTACAAACCTAAGCTTAGAAGCTATTAGATTTCACCACCCAGCAAAGGCTTCCACCTGTTCTTCAAACAGTTGCCATCAACTAACAAACACATCAAGTATAGACTCAACAGAAATAGTTAAGAATTAAAATTCAGAGCTTTAAATCTTCTAAATTTCTACCAAGCAAAATACAACTCTCAAAGTGATGCATTGTGTTGCTGTTTTTGCAGATGTGAATTATATACTTGAACATCAAGCTTGCTCTAGTGATAAAGGCAGTCTAAGTTCCTTCCTTGAATACAAAACATGATAATAGTGAGATGATTATGCAAGTAAGCCTCCCATCATCAGTGTGGGAAAAAGACACATTGGTCCTTCAAGACAACAATATATATATATTGGATGAAGGACAGAGAAATGAGTCATCTCATGTGATGTGTCACAGGTCTGAACAGAAGCTATATTAGCTCATTTTCAGAGCTCCATTTCCCTTCAGGCTGATACAGAAGTTCAAGGCTGCCCCGGACAAAGTTTTAATCCCCTGGGTTAGTACAAGTGTTAAATTATTCATAGACTATTATTTTGGGCATCTGCAACTTAACAAGCAAGCAATGTATTGAAGATAGCACAGGAAAACCAAAGCTATAAACACTAAAGCCAAGAGAGGGCTAAGTCCTGAAACAAACTGTGGATTGAAAGTTTTGAATATGAATAAAAACAGACCAAAAGAGTCTTTAAAGTAGTTAAGGCAATTTATATACATGAATTTAGATAAAACATGTAATTAATTCTTACACTACTGAAACAACAGTTTCCAACTTATTTTTAGACATCCTTTGCCTAGAAGTGTTAAGTTAGGTAAGAAACACTGCACCAAAGAGTAAAAACAGACATGCAAGTGTCTGTACAGGTAATTGCAGTATACATGTTTGTGGGGGTTTTTTTGTTGTTGTTTTTTGTTGTTGTTTTTTTTTTTTTTCACTACACAGGTTCTTTAAAATGAAAAAAAGTACTAAATACTAACTATTCAGGCTGGATGCTGCAAGCCTCAGGCTGCTTTCTGCTGTTACTGGATGTCTGATCAGCTTCATTGAAACCACATTTTACAGTAGAAAAATCTAAATTTATAGCTAAACCAACTTATTTGAGAGAAAATTCCCCTCTCTTGAATCACTGCAAGTGATCCACGTAAGAGATCACCCCCTATCAGTTAGCTTAAGGGCTGGAATGCCAAATTCTAAGAGCTCGCTCCTCAGTAAGTACAAATTTAGAGCCATCATCCATAAGCAGCTGTCTCGTTCTCAAATTTGAGTTTCTACACACGGGCAATACAGTTAACATCTCTAGATGGACAAAGTTCATATTTATACTTCATAGACTTCTTGAAGTAGGTGGCTGCCTACCCTGAAGGAGCAGAGAAAAAACCAGAACTACTCACAGCAACAGAAACCCCTGCTTTACCAACCCTATTGAAAAACATTCTAAACAAAACTCTTGAGACTTCTGCCTTATTTGTTATTCACAGAAGTGGTAGCTGGGTTTAAGACAGCAATCTGTCTGTAAAGCAGGAGCCAGTAACTCACATGAACACAGTACCATTATGCAGTTTTCAGTAGGCACTGAAGAGCAGCCAGAAGCACTCTCCAGCAGTTCTCTGAACACACCACTGAACCCAAATATACTCCAGACAGAGCACTAAAATACCTTATGAGAAATTACATGAATATTGCTTATAATTTGCCAAGTCTTCACTTCTCCCATGTACCTTTCCTTCCCATCCATCTGCAGCAGATTAATCTATTCTGTCATTCCACAGTTAAGATTTAGAAGGAAGAGCTGCTGTTCTGATCCTTAGTCTCTTGCAGACTCAGCATGTTACAACATTTTAGACTTGCTGAACTCACATAACCCATG